CTCAGTTTTTGATGGGCTTTCGAATGGTGTATGAATTATTTGTGTTGTTATTACAAGTGTTGCTGTGACCCCCTAGGAAAAGGTTATGCCCCACCCTGTACCATTTCACCCAGTTAAAACCTATGACAACAAGAGTTTTAGTAGTATGTAGATTGAAATTCCAATCTAAATGACCTTTTTGCTTTGCATATACAAGATACATCTTACTAGTATTTTTCTTAGGTGAATCTTGAAAATCCAGAGGAACAACAGGAAGATGAAGAGCAGGAAGATGAAGATGTGGAACTAGCACTATGGTCTTCTGAAGTCCAAGACATTGTCCTTGTTAAAGATGCAAAAATAGGTTTAGGATTCAGCATTTTAGACTACCAGGTATGCTTACATCCTTAATAAGCAAATGTATCTCAACTAAATGTACAAGATAGAAATTAATGGTTTTCTTACCTTAGATTTGGTGCAGGCATTCTTTTGTTCTCCTGCATGTTCTGTCCCGTCCTGTTTCTAAAACTATTTCAACTCTCCAATTTGACTTTAGTGACTATGGTAGGATAAATAGAAAAGAAGGAACTCTTTTTATGGAAGTGGTTTTTTGTTTATGTGATACTGTTCTGTGTTCATTATGTTTTGGCAGCATTCCTTAATTTTTATTTATTTCTTGGATCCATAAACAAATTTTTATGATACACATGACTTGCAATGATTGCATGTTGTTGACATCATCTTTTGTACATTATCAAGCAGCAGAAGCGCAAGACTGGGTTAAAAACTTTTCAGGCTTTGTTCTTAATTTTAAAATGTTGGTTTCATATGTATACACTACATATGTGGAACCATTTTATACTTAAACAGTATTTGTTTAATAATAGTTGTTCCGTAGTACAGTGTAATGTTGCTGAAAAATCAGAAAGAGTATTAGCTGACATCATATCTTTCATTTTATAAACATTCATGCCAATGATGTGACATATAGATAAGGGTAGCTTGAGATTCTCAGAAAATAAATGATTTGTAATTTTAACGTCGTAAAAATATAGACCAGTGATGGCGAACCTTTTTGGCACCGAGTGCTGAAAAGGGAGCAATTTGCGCGTGCTTGTCTGGGCTGTGACCAGGAAGAGGAGATGCCCAGGAGAAAATGTACTCCTGGTTTCATTTACTGGTTTCTAGTACACGCATGCACGCTGGCCAGCAAGGCTTCCGGTTACTGTCGCGCATGCTCACACACCGATCAGCTGGCCGATATTCATTCTCATGGCAGAAAATGGAAGACCAGTTCTTCCGGTTTCTGGCACTGCCACATGCACAAAGGCCAGCTGATCATCACATGTGCATGCTTGCCAGAAACCAGGAAGAGGAACGGGTGAGGCCATGCGTGCCAAGTGCCATGGCGCCATGTTCCACTTCAGGCACACGTGCCATAGGTTCGCCATCATGGGTATAGATAGATAGCTGAGACGTATAGCCCTGATGTCGTGAAAACAAAAGCTACAAATAAGCAGTATTGAAGAATTATACTAAGGAAAACCAAAAGGGCTTCTTTTAAACATGTTAAAAACAAAAGTCAAGAAAAGTAACAATTTAGCTGGTGGTAAAATACTAACAGAAGAGAAAGAAGTATTTGACTTTTATTTTGATTTAGAGTCCTGGAATTAAAAAAAAAAAGTATTTAAGCAAGAAGTCGTGAAAAAGTAGGATGGGCAGAATTGAAGCTTGACAATTATGGTCTGACAAAATGGTCAGAAAATACACCATTTTTTAAAATTATTTCAACTCTCCAGGACCAGATGAATTGAACCCCTGGATCTTATCTAATGATTCGCAATTAAATGTTGAAAAAGCCTAGGGAGGAAAATCACTAGAAGAGAGCAAATACTGTCCCTATCTTCAAAAGGGGTAGGAGGATAGCCCAGCAAACTATAGACCACTTAATCTGAGAAATACTGGAAACATTTAGAGCAGACCATATAAAGAACTATGTAAGAAACTGGAAAAACAACATAGTAAATTATTGGAATGTGTCAAATATAAATCTTGCCAGACTAACCTAATCTCATTTTTGACTGAGTAGCTATTTTAATAGATTGAGGGAATGTTAAATACACAATATATGTTGATTTAGCACAGTGTTTGACAATGTATGTCATAATATCAATTACCTAAATGTGATGTATTCTCTTTTTTGGGATGTGATTAGAGGGTCATCGGTTTTGAATGCTTTAATTTGGATTTCTGTACTAAGCAAGAAAGTGGATTTAATGATCTAAATGGATTTTTTGGGGTTATGGCTTTCAGATTTTATATCAAAAGTCTGAAATTTCAAATACTTTCTTTCGTGAAATTTACAGCATCCATTGTAAAAGGAACTGAATTCCAGAAGAAATACTATTTTTTACCAAATTTCATGCTGAAATTGAGGGAGGAAAAACCATAGTGTTAATATAGCAAATCATTATGTGTTTTCTTTTTTAATAATAGAAGGATTTGCCTCAAATCTTCTATTACTAATGTACTTTACATAGGTTTATCATCTATAAAATATGTATTTACTTGCTAAAATGAGAGTAGTACAGTACCTTTCTATGTGTATAGAAAATTGTTAGAAAAATGTAGAGTAGTCATAAACTTTTCCCTTTTTTGCAATCTTCTTTACGGTATCATACAAATTGTATTCTATTCTATTCCATTCCATTCCATTCCACTCCACTCCACTCTTAATATTTTTTCAATCCTTTTTAACCAATGCCATTTATTCTGGCTTGTTCATTTCACTAATTATTTGGGTTTCTCAAGATTTGAGGCTGGTTAGAAGCCAAAAGACCTTACATCAGAGGTGGGTTGCTGCCGGTTCGGCCCGGATTGGCCCAATAAGTAGTAGCGGCAGCAGGAGGCTCCGCCCACCCACCCAGATTCTTCAGCACGTGCACAAGGGAACACGTCCAAACTGATAGTAAAAAAATTAGCAACCCACCTCTGTGTTATATGCCAGTTTTGTATTCTGCATTAGAACTCCTCAAATTAATTTGAATTCTTCAGAAACATATTCTATTTTGAAAGTCAATTTACATCACATTTGAATGCATAACTTCAGCACCTTATGTGACCAAGAAACAGCAACCAGAATAATCTAGTAAGATAAATGCAAGACGAAGGAACATGTTGCTGTCCCTCTAATGTTCTCTCCAAATTCACACCTTAATTTTCAGCTCTATAAACAAACAGCTGTTTACTTTCACAGAAGAAAAAATGTAAAGCAGCATTATAAGGGAAAACATACCTTTCAATCTGATATGCTCCATCTGGAATTTTTGTAGAATAACATCCCCTTTCTCCCTCTCTCTCCTGCTGTTTCATTTTTCTCTGGCTGAAACATATGGGTATTTTCAGACTTTTTCTAGTATATTATGTATTCAACACTGTGATGGTTCAGTGAGCAAACAGCAAAAATAATCATGGTTATACAAAGTGTTGGAAAGTTTATTTTTGCTGTTGCATAGATGACCTGATTTCTTCCTTGGGTGGCTTGAAGGGGCCTAGGGCCGGGTGGAGTATAACTGGAAGAAGGATGGAAGCACTTGTAGAACAAAAGAACAACAGAAATCTTTGGAGCTAAAAGATAGTGTGGACTGAGGTTTTACAGAGACATGAAATGGAAGCTTGACATAATCTTCTGAAAACAGAATCAGAATAAGGGAGTTGGAAGGGTCTATGGAGATCTTCTAGTCTAATCCCTGCTCAGGCAGAATACCCTATACCCATGATGGTGAACCTATGACACGCGTGCCTAAAGTGGAACACGAAACCATATCGCCTAGCACGTGTGGCCTTGCCTGTTTGTCTTCTAGGTTTCTGGTGCGTTTGCATGTGAGACGATCAGCTGTCCTTCGCGCGCATGCAGCATTGCTGGAAACCAGTGTGCGTATGCATGCTGGCCAGCTGACTGTTGGGTGTGGGTGCATGCCAGAACCTGGAAGTTCGGCTTTCCCGGCGCGCGCCCCTAACAAGTGTGCTAAAAAGATTCACCATCACTGCCCTGTACCATTTCAGACAAATGGTTGTCACATTTCTTCTTAAAATCTTCCAGTGTTGAAGCATCCATAAACTCTAGAGGCAACTTATTTCACTGATTAATTGTTCTAACTGTCAGGAAGTTTCTCCTTAGTTCTACATTGCTTCTCTGCTTGATTTGTTTCCATCCATTGTTTCTTGTCCTGTATTCAGGTGCTTTGGAGAATAGGTGGAAATCCTCCCTCTTCTTTGTGGCAACCCTTCAAATATTGGAACATTGCTATCATGCCCCCCTAGTCCTTATTAAACCAGACATTCCAACAAACCCAATTCCAACAACCGTTCTTTATATGTTTTAGCTCCAATAAAAATATAATTTCAGGAAGGTGCTAATTAATTGCACAAAAGGAACATGAAGATTGCCGATTCCTAAGTTCATGTTCTAATGCAGAAAATGCAGAGAAATTGATTAATTAATATATAGGCCAATCAGAACGGGGCAACTTAGATCTTATTTGCTGGCTAGCTTACATACGAAATTTGATTGCGTCTCTTTTCAGAAATAAGGAGGGAAGGGATATGAGAAGAGGGTCACTGTCCTGAACAACACAGATTGAGAATTTATCCTGAAAGACAACTGCTGACAGTGATAGGAAAAGTAACGTTAATTCTGCAGGATAAGGTTTCCTTAACTCTTCCTAAAACAAAGTGTAGCTTCTAAATACAGCCTCCATATACAGGTGAAATATAAAGTAGGGGTTTGAAAAGATTATGAACATTAAAAAAAATCACTTTAGAGTAAATTGGGCCGTGCCTTTGATCTTGTTTGAATAGGAATGTGAAATTAGTATTAAAACAGATAATCCTCAATTTACAATCACTTGTTTACTTTCTGTTCAAAGTTACAATGGCACTGGAAAAAGTGACTTATGACCAGTTTTCACACTTATGGCTATAACATCCCCTGGACTACATGTTTAAAATTCAGGCACTTGACATCTGGCATGTACAGGTAGTTCTCAACTTACAACAGTTCATTTAGTGACCACTCAAAGTTACAAAGGCAGTGAAAAAAGTGACTGATGACCGTTTTTCACACTTACAACCATTGCAGTATCTTTGTGGTCATGTGATCAAAATTCAGGTGCTTAGCAACTGATTCAGATTTATGATGGTTGCAGTGTCCTCGGATCATGTGATCAGCTATTGCAACCTTCTAACAAGCAAAGTCAATGGGGAAGCTTTAGAGTATCTTTCCTGAGATTTTATAAGAGTAGACCTTCTCTTATATAATCTTTTTTAAGTGTAAGTTGTTTTCCCTCTGAATAGTAGAATTTGAGGTTTTGGATGAAATGCAATAGAGAATCACATAATTGATAGAAGAG